TTACAATTAAAGTTTCTTTTTAGTTTTTTTTAAAGTCTTTTCAAATTTCAATATTTTTAAGAACTTAAACCAGTTTTAAGGAATTTCTGATGAAACCAGATAACTGTTACAACTGGTCAGATCGAAATCAGCTCTGGTCAAATTTATAGACATTTGAACTTGCGAATATCATAAATTTTATTTTCAGTCAATAACCGACCCAATTTTTGAGTTTACGTCTACCAATGAGCATCTCCGTAGCCTTCTAATTGTGAACCCAATCCAGAAGACAAGGGAACTAATGGAATAAGTATTGGAAGCATCATAAATTTGTGCTAAGCTTAACTCAATAAGTATAATTTTTATAAGAATCTGGGAAGTTTATAGTCACAATCGCTCAGGATATTGAGCACTCTTATCTTCTAAGTTGGGAGCCGAGCCAGGTTCGAATCTCAGCGTTGTCTGATCGATACGAATTCTACTCGTGCTGATCACAGGGTTAACACCGAATATCCTGAGTGGTAGACAGATCATTTATAAAAATCCTCTTGTTATCGGCTAACCACGGAATGTTTTCGTGTTTTTCCACTCAATGTAACGCAAATGCCGGTTAGTTCTATCAAAAAAAGTCCTCTACTAAAGCTAATTTATCCCAACGCTTGATCCAGGAGTCTTCTGGTTTGGATTAAATTTACAAGGCTGCTGAGTTGAACATTGATAGCTGTAAACTCAGAATTGTGTCGGCTGTTCAACGCCGGTAATACTATAAAATATCTTGAAAAAATGGTTAGCTTTTTTAATTTATCACTGCTGCAATCTAAATTTTTGAAGGAATCAACTTTAATAATAATTCAAAAGTCATATTAAAATCGTAATGATATCAGTAGTTTAACATTTTAACAGTTCCAAGTCATTTATTAGACTTCACCTGTTAGTCTAAACACGCTTGTAGCTTTCTATGCACCAAGATCTTATATGCATTTGTTCATATTTAGTCGACTATTCTAAAATGAAACAAACTAAATCATTTTAGAGAAAATAATTATGTATTTATGGGATTCTTTGTATTTTTATCGCTCCTCTTTCCGTTTAGGAAATGCAGTGTTTTTTTACGGAAGTTACTACTTTATAAGAAGAAAAGATAAATAACTGCAGTGTTTTTAATTTTTTGAAAGATTTTTCGTATCCAGATAAAAAAAATTAAATCACATTAACATAAAATTTTGTCAGTTATTTGCTTTTAATATTAAGTTTATAAAACCACATATTCAAATCTCCAATAAATTGTCACTTATCTTCCTGTAATTTTTTTAAAAATTTAACTAGATAATGTACACAGCTCTTTTTATTTAAAGAAAGAAATTCTATAGCCAGGAAATCGTTGTATCAGAGTATTATATTTTCGTTTTTCAGCTATATCATTTTATCGCAATCATTAAATACTTACATAAGTAATTAAGCCGATAACGTTCACCTTCTATTTTAGCCATGCTGAACAAACTCAAAAATTAAAGGTATTCGTAAAGCAAATATCAAGAAATAAATCTTGTCCGCGTTCAAAAACCTTGCACGGTTAGCTCGAATGCAAAGGAGAGGCTTAACTCACGCCCAGTCGACAATTGGAGATTTTTTTTCTTTATTAAAAGCCTATAGCTCTTTATTCGGGAGATTTGAATATCGGGAATAGCAAAATGTATAGTATGCTCGAATCCCCAATAACAGCATGCTTTCACAGATTATGTTTTATGAGTTGAAAATAACTTATCTGAAAAATTCTCCATTGCTTGTTTGTTGAAATTATGCATTTTCAGTCTTGTGAATTTCAACCGAAATAACTAAATTAAAATTTCAGATTATCACTAATAAAGAATATTTTCACCATTGGTAAAAAACTTATGTTAAATAAATAATCTGAAGAAACAAGCGGTATAAGATTGATTAAAAACTTCATTACCGTCAAAAATGTATGAAACTGAAATAATTCGATGTGTTTTAAGTGCTCAAAAACAAGCACCCATTTTCAAGACAATGAGAAGAAACTAGTGATTTAAAATATCGTAACATTTCGTTTTATATTTCAAATCACTTTCGTTTTTTCTCATTTACGCCTGACAAGTCTTATCTTTGGGCGCAGAAGCTACCTGTTGATTGTTATTTCCAGGTTGTATATTTTTGAAGCGAATGAAGTTTTTAATAAAGTAATAACTTACTCATGATTTGAGGCAATTAAATCTTATCTTTGACGCCCAGTGGCTGAGTGGTAGCGCTTCGTGCTCACGTGCACACCTGTGCAGACTTGTGACGTGCTCACGTCACATGTCCTGGGTTCGATCCTCGGGCGGGGCAAGGTTGACTCAGCCTTTCATCCCTTCAGTGGTTCTATAAATGAGTACCAAGCAATGAGTGCGTGGGAACTAAACACCGGGGGTACCACGTTCGGCTGACCACCTGACCGGAACATCTGCTCCTGCACCTCAGAGCCCAAGGTCAAGAAAACTGAGATGGGCACAGTAGGCCTTGGCCCTCTATGGGCTGTCGCGCCACTGAGTTTTCAAATCTATTCGTTATATCTCAGCAACTTTAAACTCAAAAGACAAAAAAAAAAGTTATGTAATCCGATAATATGTTCATCTAGCTTAAACGGGGAACTTCAGTTGAAACAATTTTTTTTTTTTTTTAAAATAGGGAGACCCTGTTAGTTTACGTTTGCGATGTGCGAGAGGGAAAACCACGAAAATTCTCTTGGTTATCTTAATGGCAATGTCTGTGTAAACTAGGAGCAGTTTCCCATAACGTCATCTTTCTTTAGTTTAACCTGCTTAAAATTTAAAATGCACTATATTGTATACAATCTTTAATTGTCAAAAAAGATACTTTTGCAAATTTTATTTATTATAACTCATGAATTGTTTTATTTACTGAAATATTTTTTTTTCACATGTAGGCAATTTAATGCTTCTTCCTTTCACATATAATAAAAGAATCGATCGAAAAAATACGTTTTGTACCAAAGTAAAAATATAGTTCTTAGTTGTTTGTGTTTGTTATAAAATTTTAGTTATGTATTTTATGTGCTCCCCAAGGGATATATAACCTAAATAACTATTCTTTCTATTCGGATACAAAGAGTTAAGAAAAATAAATCGATCGCCCTAGTTCTAAGATTTCCGACACTGATGCCTTTAAATTCCTTTGTCCCAGTTTTTCTTTCTTGGTTAAAGCAGGCGTGGAAAATTTGGGCCAATGAATAATCCGGCGACATTTCTGAAAAACATCTTGTTTTTGTTGGAGAGTGCATAAAAAATACCATCAGCGATCTTTTTAAACAGCGGTGGTATGTTTCATTTACAAAGAATTATAGTTAACTGGTTTAGATCTTAAAATAGCTGCAATTGAAAAATTTAACTAGTCCGAAATAATTAAATTTGCTCATGCCAAAAACATCAGGGAGTTAAAAAATGAGGATGTTTTCGTAACCCTAAAGACACTGTTAGTTTTATGACCTATATACCCCTTTAAATGATGGAGAAATCATAGAACAATATAACATAATATAATCATGTATGGCGTCTCGCTAATCATGTATATGATGTGCCATTTTTGGAAGAATGTTTTTCCGAATGGAAGTAAAAAAAAATATCTTGCATTCATTATTTTTATTGCAAAAGCATTATTCACTGGCAGAAGATGTTTTAAGTTTGAGATTTTGCAAAACAATTTGTGCAAATTTGAAATGCCTGAAATTGAAATTATTAGTTTCTATTAGTTATTAGTTTCTGTTTGGTGGGAAAATTGAAGGAATAAAATTTAAATTTACATGGAAAATTTTAATCAGCTTGTTGATTTTGTTGATTTTACTGTTAAACCAACTGTTTGTCAACTCCACTATGTAAACGTTTCGTGCAAAAATGTATATCATCAGCAATGTTTTGAGAACACCTAAATATTACTTTAATGATTGTTACTTTTACATAGTGTATTCAATATTGTAGAAGTTTTTATTGTTTAATTGCAATGCTTATGTAGTTAAACGTTAACAATTGCTACATTTAATTCATTATATTTATTTTGTTATTATGCAACACTAAAAATCGCAAGACTTCGAAGAGATAAAATTATCTAACGCGGGTCAAATAATTTTGTCTATTATCTATTATCTATTTAATCGTAAATAATTACACCTTACGTGCCTTTTTATTGTTTCGTCTTTAATATTTATGTTCTATGACAAACCGTTGAAATCAATCTTATGAGCATCGCATGCAATTTAAATAGTTAGTAAAAACAGTAAATAAGAATTAATCACTGCTTTAAAGCATATATTTTTTGGTGTATCAAATGACCATAGCTGCATGTATTTACCCTAGAGTTCCTGATATCTAACTTTTTCCCCTTTAAGCTTTTCAAAATACAGAGAAAGTCATATTAAAATTTTTTTAAAAATGATTTTATTTTTTTTGTTATTGATGCAGATGTGAACATTTAAATCTTAAAATTGTAAACTCCTAACTGTGGATCTCATTCTAAGGTTCTCTGCCAAAATTTCTCAGAAAAAAAATTAAAGTGACTTTTTTAAATTTTTCTTTACTACTTTGTTTTTAAAGTCACAAAACTTCAACTTTATTCATCTTAAGCACTGAATATTCAAGATTAAGTGTGAATACTTTTAATAGTATTGCTTAAGTCTTTTATTATATCTATTCATTTTTTTACATGATTTTGACTTTATCGTATTACCCTAGTTTATCTCAGTTAGGGAAATAACACTTTTGCTACATTTTACGTTAATTTCAATGCTAAACGGTTCACAAAATTGAACTATCTTAAATTTGGGTTTTGTCTTAAAAAATTTAAAAAAAAGAATCCCGGGTCGAAAAATTTTTTAAATTTTTTATTTTCTATTTAACTTTTTTCTTTGATAAAAATTTGTGTACAATTCTTTTGTACCATCCGATTTACAAGAATTTCAAAAGAAAATTTAAATTTTTGCATCAATTAAGAATTTAAAATATCTATTTTAGGGTTTAACTGGTCACTTAGTTTTTGCAATTGCTGCAGCAGCTCTTGGCTCATCATTCCAGCATGGTTACAATACAGGAGTGGTTAATGCACCACAAACAGTAAGTAGATTTTACTTTTAAGTATTTATATATAATATTTATATTAGAGAATACATCACTTCAGCGCGCAAGACGTGTATTGTTAATGATTAGATGAAGTAGCATGAAGTCCTAAAGCTGTCGCTCCACACATGCCTAGTATTTTTCTTCACTGGATAAGAAATAAAGACCTCACGGTTCACAGTCAGAAGAATTGTTTTTCATCAAATAATATTTCAATACCTTTTGTTCCAAAGAAAGGTTAGAAAAATAAGCTTAATTGGCTTGCACGGACTTAAACACGCTACCCAAACAACAAAAATATATTGTTAAACTTATGTTCTATTTCTGTTGAATTGAATCCTTTGCCTGAATTTCTCCCTTTTCGAAATATTATCCCTGCGTTTTAAAACATTAAAATTTTATTTTTGATTTTATTAGTTTGTGTTTATTTCTAATAAATGTTAGATCCAGCAAAAATTTTTGTCAGTGTTGAATTAATCAGTTTTAAAATACGTAATTTATTTTGCATAATTAATATGAGTTTCATAGTTCAGTTGCTCACTGTAGTTCATAAATCACTTAATGTATTAATCCATGTGGTAAATGTAGCACGCCATTTTATTTGCAACCCTCTTAAGCCAGATTTTGGCATTAATTCTGATATATGAAGCTCTACTTAAGAGTTGATTTTTAAGAATAATGTTGATATGGTTATTCCTACCATATTAATCTATTATAATGATGTCCCAATGGATGATGTAAGAAATAACTCATTCTTAACACAATGACTTCCATCAGCAGGACAGCGTAATACTGGCCAGATCAGTACTAACAAGTCTTTTATGTCTGGCTCGATCCGACAGCAAGTTTGTCCATCTTTTGATGTCTATGGTTTTAAGATCTTTTTTCCAAAGAATCAATCCATCAGGTGTTTAGTTTTTTCCCTTTTTCGGTTACCAGCAAACTTTCTAAAAGTCAGCTTCTTAACTCGGTCACCATCACAAGACAATAACATATAAATAAAAAAATACAGAACAAAACAGATATTCTTTGAGGACATCATCAGCGTAATGTTTTGAGAATGAGCACTCGAAACATATTGATCGTTTGGGAAACAAATGAAGTTTATATTCGCAAGTACAGCTCTTTTTAGATTCGTTATAAACTTAGTTAGCTGAAGAATCTCATGACATTTGCATACATTTATGCATCATTTCTACTTTGTTGAACTCATAATACAGTAAAAGAACTCATTAAACAGTTTACCAAAGCCAATTGAGTACGCTGAAAACAATTAAAAGAAAGAGCGTTCTTTTTAAAAAAAATGTAGAACAAAATGAGTAACACCTATAAGCAAATAAGGTACAGGTGATAGCTAAGCGGATACCTCTGCCACGCATGGTTTAGCCTGAGACGCAAGGCAGTGGCGGTGTGATTGCGTTTGTGTAATAGTGGTACCTCATTTACCCACTGAAACTTGTAGCCTAAGGACGTTTGGGAACATCGTAGCCTAAGGACGTTTGGGAACATCGTAGCCTAAAGACGTTTGGGAACATCGTAGCTTTTCCCGTTCCATGTTCTTTTTTAAAATGTCTTTGTTTACCCGTCATTAGTATAGCCAGTTGTCATCGTCTAGACTAGACGATGGTAAATGGTTGAACAACTCGAGACGGGTCAAGTGTATACGCTATGGTCAGCCAGATGTATTTCAAACTACCAGGTTTATTCATACTATTGCAACTTGTACTTTTTGAGGGCCCTACGCAACTAATCTGAGATGATTTCTCATAAAACTTTTCAGTAGATATACGTTATAAGTGTTGAATACTAAGCTAGATTTTTCCCTCCAAATAGCTTATACAGAAATTCATAAACCAGACATATTATGAGAAACACAATGAAGTGCCGAGCGAAAGTACAGTTGTCCTCATCTTCTCCATCATGGTGTCAATATTTTGCCTTGGTGGAATGGTTGGGGCCCTGGGCACCGCCTACCTCGCCGAAAAGTTTGGACGAAAGGGTGGTCTTTTGATGAACAATGTTTTCGTCTTCGTCGCTGCCGCCCTCTGTGGATTCTGCAAATTAGCCAATTCCTACGAAATGATGATCATTGGTAGATTCGTCATTGGACTTAATTCTGGTAAGCTTAAGATCTTTTATAAATAACTCTATCTTCCAGCTTTAAGCATTTCCTAATGTTACCAGTTGTCCATTGAAATCAGGGAATTATTTTAAATGGTGGAAGAACTTTTGTTACTCGCATGGAACAGAAGCTCTTTCATCAAATAATTTAAATCTTCAATAATAAAATAATTTCATCAAATAATTTAATGGCTTCTCAGTTGCTTTTATTGATAATTTATCTGCCGATTAAACTTGTCTCAAAATAATAGTTAATATTGATAATAAAATAAAATATAACAAAATGCCTCTAAGTAAAAAAAAAATTAACTTTAACTCTCTGGAAGTGAGATGCTAATTTTGGCATTCAAATCTCAGAGTTCTGAATTTCATTAAATTTCTTCTATTCGAACCTATTCGAATCTTTTAATATTTTCAATATTTTATATTTTTATGAATCGTCAGATATTGTACTTGTTGACATTCTCTTTTTACTATTCGCAGTAGAATTTCAGAATAATAAAGGAATATTTTACAAACTAAATGCCTAATATCGGTCCGCTCCTGCAAATAATGTCTTTCTCCCGATTTCCTCACTAGAGATTCGACAAATTTCGAAAACGTTTTTCCTTTGTTTTTTCTCCCTTCTTTCCCCTCCTGTATAAATTAAGAAACTTGTATTTGGCTGGTAAAATCACGCTTGCCTCATAAATTGGGTACTTGCACTTCAAGACGATCGCGTATACCCACACATGTGACCTCTGACGTCAGCGGAATCTGATCGTTTATAAGCAAAATGGTGAGTTAAAGTTGTGCTAAGTTTCCCCACATAATCTCGAATGTTAATTAACGCGGAGTTAAGTAATTACATCGCCGTATCGCACATCGAATTTATTGAAATATAATTCTTTCTAATCTCTGTCTTTTACTTAACTTAGATTTTTATTTGTTTATGCATTTTATGCGCACCTGGCAACTTCGATTTATAATTAGTTTGTTAATGTTCTACATGGCTTCGTGCCTGGCTTTGTGTTAAGTAAGAAATATATAGTGAAAGAATTGGAATAGTAAGAATATAGAATGTGTCACTAAGAGGCTTGGTTTACTCGAAGTAGAACACAAAAAAACAATTGCTGGCGTAAACAAATACCAAGTTTCAACAACCAATCAAGATAGAGATATCCACATTACGTCACTTTCAGTTTTCCCGTTAATGCATTCTTGTAACTATTTTTCCCTATATGGTGTAAAAAATAAAATCTTTGATAATGACACTATTAGTTAAGCCGAATGGCGTTAATAGCTTTAAAAAGCGTCATAGAATGCCTTATGTTTCTGGACAATTTAAAATTTTAATTTATTTTAAGATACAAATTATTCTAGTTGCTAAAATCTGTGTACGACTTATGATAGAAAAAATAGCATTCGTCTTAAACAAATCTCATTTTTAAATTTTCTGAGATAGATAGCAATCTGTGACGCTTTCTGAAGCCAAATTTTCACTTAAACATTCGGCTCAACAAGTTACAAGGTAAAATAAATGTGTCGCCGTCAGATTTCTTTTCCCCATAAAAAAAAACGTTACAAGACAGTTATAATTTATGAAACACACGAGACTTTGCCAACTTCTGGATGTTTTAACAGATTGCTTGTATTGTATTCATGGTCATGCCTTCAAAAATTGTTTGGACACATTTTTATACCTCGCTTTTTTTCGATTAACTCTACGTAGCACTAATGAATAATTTCTCGTGTTATGTCATAGTTGAAAGATTATTTTGGAATAATGCCATCGACAAAAAGCTTTGTCTTACAGTTCTTCCAGATCTATGTTTGATGGAATTGATATTCAGAACAAATATTTCATGATATAAACATACGCTTGTAATACCTCGTGACAGAAACGCGGAGACATGGAGACATTGTCACAGAACGTTACAGGGTCCTTGCAGAAAGATTTTTCCTTAGGGAAATAATTTTTTTTTCCTTTCTGCATAAATTTTTGAAGGATTTTTTTTCTCTGGAGAATTATATTGAAGAGATGTCTTTCTCGCTCTTCGGAGGAAATAGAAATGCTCGTGAATTTCTATACTCATTGAAAAAAAAATGATAATGGTAGGCTTCAGCTAAAATTTTAAATAAGATGATAAAAAAATTGAAAATCACGAAAGTTCAGAGGATCGTTCGCTCTAGAAATCATGTTCCTTCTTGCATTTTTTAAAAATAAAAATATATTATGCATATCAAAAAATATGACAAATTCAGATTTGCTGAAAACTAATTAATCAATACGGTACATTTGTCCCTCTTTTTTGTTAAATTTGATTGGAATGTAATTGGTTCAATATTTTTTAATATATAATTAATATTTTTTAATATAAATAAAAATTCTAAACCACGCATTTGAAACTTCACTTTAACGTCCTTTACAACTCGTGCCTATTAAATCACAAATAATCTGTAGTGTTTTGATAATTTTTTCCGGCAATTATTGCGGCGAATTTTTTTTTCTTTTAAAATCCCGATGTCTTTTATAGCTCAGTTATTAGTATCAATATTCTCGTGTTTTTTTATGTCTAAATTATCGATATTATTACAGCATGTGAAGTTCGAATCTGGGATTCTAGAAATCACTCTTTGAAATACTCGGTTTGCTCCAATATCATCGTTAATCCGTGCGTCGTTTTAATCGTGGTTTCGACAATTATTGCTTTAAGTTTTCAGATTATTTATTCACATAGAGCAAAAGAGGCTAGTGTATTGACAGGTCATGCAATTTAATAGCTAACTGATTTTCTCAACAGTTATCTAGTTTTAAGTTCATTCATAAAGAACTTGAATTTAGTTAGCTGTGGTTCGCTTAGCTCTGAATCCAAATAATTGATCATTAGAATTAACGTAACATCCATACCTAACTTATCAACGGATGTAATGCGAGATTTGATTTATACAAATTTCATATTTTTATTTAAATTCTTTTTTGATATTTAAGAACATATTCCAATGTTGCATGATCTGGTCTCACAAAAATGCGCAAAAAATTGCAAAGAATAAGGCATTGATTTTCATAATTTTCATCCAGGTGGAAAAATGTCGCCAAATTGGCAGTTTTTAAATTTTTTTACTGACTTTTAAAATATTTAAGTTATTTGTCCGTTCTAAAGCTCAGATAATTCTTCCCGGTAAGATGATATATATAGTTTAAAATTATAACCTTGCTTTAAGTGTAAGGCACTTAAACTGTGACTTTGTTTTGTTTGGCGTAAGAGCTTCAAAAAACAATGTTAAAAGAAAATTACTCTATTAGTTTTAGTTTCTAGTTCTTACGATCAAAGATTTATCTTTCTTTGGCATAGTATCTTTTGATAAAATTATTTCAACTTTACTACTTTTAACACATTTAATGAAAGTAGACCATAAAATAGTGGTTTGATATTCAAACTTCCATTACTTATTTTGCTTGAAATAGAAATTTTCAACAGAATAGAAAGCTTTTGCCAAATATTCGATTTCCAACGATTTGAATAACGTTTTAACTTTAGCTTTTCAGTAAGATTTTGAAATTAAATTATGCCCTTATATAATTCTTAATAAACTGCATTTATTCATTTTTGTAGGTTTGAGTGCTGGCTTAGCTCCTATGTACCTAACAGAAATTTCTCCCATTCATTTGAGAGGGGCCGTGGGTACGATCTATCAGCTGATTATAACGACAACTATTCTTATATCTCAAATTTTAGGACTGCCTGAGCTCCTAGGTACTGAAGAAAGGTGGCCTTATCTCTTTGGTAAGCATAAGTACCTATATTAGTAAATCGCTATTCATTAAATATTCTTCTAGTAAGGAAAATTTTGCTTAGTTATAAAAAAAATTGTATTTTTCAATTATATAAAATTCAAACAAAAAAAAATTCTTTCAGAAAATGAGCATTTTTGTACCGGAAGTCATAAAAAAATGGAAGAACAATGATGTAGATCGAAAGATTTGGTTTGGGAAACCAGATACCTTTTTAAGAAATCAGGATTTTATTTTCACTCAATTTCAAAGTTAGTAACAACGTCTTCCGACAGATGGAGTAACAATAAGTAAAATTATAAAACAATACATTTTTTAATATTCATCACAATATTTGCTCATGCGTCTGTTAAATTTATCCTCCAATTGCTTCGGGATGTAGAAGCCTATTATGCTGACTTGAAGATATTGTTTCACAGTTTTTATCAGAAGCTCCATATCTTGCAACTAATTTTGAAACTTAGAATTAGCTTTAATTTCCCGATCAGAGCGCAACAAGCCTTGCATTTTTCACTCATTTCATTTCATTTTTCTCTGATTTCCCTGATCAAATCATTTATATTTTTGGTCGGACACTTGTTTCGAAACCTATTATGTAGCCTTGTAATGTCTGTAGCCTTGCAATTTTGAACCCAATCAAGTAGTGAGAGAAAAATTTGTCTTCGTAGAACACTTTTTGATGGAACTAACCCGCATTTGCGTTATATAGAAAGTGACGGCAAAGTGACTCTAAACCATGATCTTTCTACCGCTGAGGATATTTTTACGTCAGAACTTTGGTCGGTGCGAACCGGGTGCGGAATTAGTATCGACTAGCCATTGCTGGAATTCGTACCCGGATCACTTCATCTTAAAAAAATCTCAATAAAAATAGTTAAGATAACGAAAATAGTTTTCAACGGCGACTTTTTGAATATTTCCCCCAAAAACATGGAAAATCGCATGAAAGTACTCAGTGAATCTGCTAAAAAAATTTAGGTTCATGAGTTATTGCTACACATGTCGTGTAACGAACTTGAAAGAAAACTTCTTTTTTAAATTTTTTTTAAAACAATTTGTAATTCTAGGAACTATAATCATGTTCTTGTTATAAATTTGTAAAATGTGTTGCACCATTTGAAAATACTTTTCTTCATCACAAAAAAGAGTAATTTCAAAATCTAATTTCGACAACTTCTTCACTATCGAATTTATACAAATGAAAATGTATTTTTTATCAGTATTGATTTTTGATTTCCGCTCCTATTCTAGGTTTAATAATTATCCCAGCAATATTTATGCTGATTACTCTTCCACTTTGTCCAGAGTCTCCAAAATTTATTTTGATCAATAAAGGAAAGGATGTCGCTGCCCAAAAAGGTAACCGTAGTATTTATCTAATCTAAGAACATAGCACTAAATTGAATATAAAGTTTTAAAATTCTCCATAAATTTGAAATTTCCCTTTTCCTTCCTCTCTTTTCCCTCTTTATCTCCTGATTAATATGAAAACCCTGTCGATACCTGATTAGTTTATTAATCCATGAGCATACATGGGATTACATACTTTTGATAACTTGAAATAAAACCTAAATTAAATTGCTAAAAAAATAGCATATTATTTTAAAAAAATCTACTTGGTAGCGTATAAAAGAAAGTTTTGAAAAATAAAAAAAAATATAATTAACTAGTGGGCTGTGCCCCCTGCTCGCTAACGCTCGCCAACCCCCGAAAATTTCTACGCAATCTTATATGGTTTGCTTAGCAAACCAAGCTCGCTTTGCTCACTACTAACTTAGGTACATTGCAAATACACAAAATTCTACCATCATTCAAATCCATATAACAGCTTTTTTTTAAAAAAAAAATTACCTCTTTTTAGTAAATACTAAGTCATTAAAATAAATTTAAATTCACATAAATAACATGTAATTCGTTAAACCTTTTAAAAATGTGCTATAGTATAAAATCGTAAAGCGTAACACCATGGCTGAGACTCATTTTTCAATGAATCACTAATAACAATAATAAAACAAATAAATTCGTGATATAAATCAAAAATCGTCAAATTCGAAATATATAAATTCGTGAAACAAAGCGCTTTCGACAAAGTACTAAAATAGAGATCTATCGACAAAGACTACTCACTTCTGCCTAGCTTAATAGTATGAGATTGCCGCAGCTAATAGGGTGAATTTCGGGAGAGATCACATTTGGTGAGAATGCACTCTCTGGTTATTTCAGTTTCCGTTTTTGAAAGCGCTATATATTGAGCCACCTCAACTAGATTTGGCATGTGACATTTTCAGCGGCAATCATTGGTCGATTTTCTAGCGTTGCCATTTGGGGAGTTGTAATGAGACGTTTTTTTTGTCGCCGTGTAAGAGAAATATATATAGAGATTCATTCAGCTTTATTCAATTTTATTTTACCTTTATTTACTGTAGCATGATCACGATCACACACCAATCTTGTGCCTTATCGCAGAATATTTCAACGTATTCTTCATACTTTTTATTTTGTATTTGAATAGGTCTAAATTAGTGGAAAATATTTTATTTAGCTTTATGATAATTTATAAATATGAAATACAGTACGGTGTTTTTTTTTTCTGCGTTGAAAATAAAATCTTCTAAACAATAATTTTTCAAACTTTCAGTTACTTATATTTAAGAGAAAGTTATTCATCATTGAAATTTCTTTTTTTCAAAATCAAGTATTGATAAATTTTTGAATATGAATGAAAACGAAATTTCTAACTACTTATTGTAGTTTTTATATTTTAGTTCTAATACATTTCCGGTTATTTAATAGATATTTTTTTGTTTCTATTGCTGTTTTTCATAATAAAAAATACCAAAATATATTTTTGTTTGTAATTAGAACGGCAGAAAAAATATATATAAAAGGGACACAGGTATCCAACTACTTATCATTCCGAAAAAACTCGGACTTAGCGAAAATTGCCAGTATGATTTATTTTACCTCGCTTCTACTCGACGAAATAAAATATTCTGCTCAAATTGACAGTATGCTCTCGTTATATAACTTTTGATGCTTTATTTTACATAAAAAAGGACTTAATTTATGAGATATTTTAAGTTCTCTAGAATCATTATTTTTTTTACAGCTCTTACCTGGCTTCGAGGCACTAATGATGTTCATTATGAAATGGACGAAATGAGAGCAGAATTTGAAGAAATGAAACTGGTACCCAAAGTAGGCATCCAATACGCATTTAAATACATTAATTTTGTAATGTTAAAACTTAATAATGTTAAAGTTTTAGGAAGGATACTCACTGATGAGGCAAGCGGTTAAGCAAGAGGCATACGAGAGGCAGATTCCCATACTTTAACAATAATATGCGCACATCGCCTCTGCGCAACCTAACGCAAAAGTATAGAAATTCGCCTCCTGTCTCCATTCTTACTGCTTTCCTCCTTAGTGTGTGGCCTACCTAAGAGAAATGTTAAATAATTTTTATGAAATTAAGCACATTAAGGCACAGTGGCGCTCACGTTCTTAAGGACAGCGTTTTCAAAATAAATGCGTCATTATATTGGATCATTATATTATGTTTCGATCAAGATATCTATAATGACGAATTCTACCTTAGTTGAACTTCAATCCTCATATAATTCATTCATGTTCACAAGTGTTTCATAAAAGTTAATTAACGAAAAATATTTTGTTAAGTTTCTTATACTTAAGGACAGTTTGTCTAATCATGAGTTATTGAATGATTACAATCAATTTATCGATCAATGTAAGTGTAATTTACTACATTATCTTTGCTTGAGGCTTTAAAACATTATATTAATATTTTTTAAATTTTTTTAGTACAAAATTTAACATTATTATGAGTAAAGATAAAAATGTTAGCAATGAACAGAGATGTTGAATAGATATTCTGAGAAAAAAAGGTTTAAGCATTGGAGAAATTGGTAGGCGGTTAAAATTATCAAAAACAGCAGTTTTCCAAGCATTGAAATCTATTCTAGTGACCAAAAGTATTGAAAAAGCATCCCAAAAATCACGTCCACGCAAAACTACCGAACGAGAAAATCGAATTTTTCATCGAATTTCTGAAGCTGATCGTCACAAAACCGCCCCGGACATCAGAAAAGAATTCGCTAAATTAACAGGCAAGCACGTAATCAATAATACCATCAAACGGCGTTTAAATCAGTTTCGGCTTATAGGTCGCCTATGTAGGAAAAAACCGTTGATGTCAAAGAAGAATATAGCAGCTCGATTAGCTTTTGCAAAAAGACACAGAAACTGGACATCGGCTGACTGGAATCGAGTTATATTTACAGACGAATCGAAGTTCAACAGAATGGGCTCAGATGGCAAAAGTTATGTGAGGCGTCGAGTCGGTGAAGAATTTAATGTACGGTGTACAAAATCAACTGTAAAAGGTGGAGGCGGCTCGGTGATGGTGTGGGGTGCCATGACACGTTCACGATGTGGTCCAATTCACAAAATCGAAGGCATCATGGATCAGCATGTGTATGTGGACATTATCAAGACTGTTTTTCTGCCTTATTACAGGAAACTTCGCTCAAGAAAACCAATCATGCAAGCCGATAATGATCCAAAGCACTCGAGCAAAACTGCGAAGGCCTTCTTATCAAGCAAGAAAATTGTGGTTTTGCAGTGGCCTTCCCAATCACCAGATCTCAACCCGATCAAGATGATGTGGATAGATGTGGATAAATATGTGAAACAGCGAAAACCAAAAAAATTTAGGTGATTTATGGAAATGTGTCCAAGAAGGCTGGGCAGCTATACCTCCTGAACCATGTTAAAGATTAGTAGATTCGATGCTTCGTAGATGTGAAGCAGTAATTGCCCCAAAAGGCTTACCGAGTAAATACTAGCTCAAAATCTTTATTTTTTGTTACATGTTTTACTTTGTTATTAATTTTACTAACGATTAAGAAACATTTATTTTGCTGTCCTTAAGTATGCGGAATGCATATTTTTTCTAAAATGTTACATAATTTAAGTATAACAGTTAGATAAATGATTTTCATTGTGAAAATATATTAAAAATAAGTTATTTGTTCCAATACATAATTATCAATTCAATAAACTTATGCGTGAACATTAAGTTTTGGATTTTACTTTTCATAAAGACATGTCCTTTTAAATACGTGAGCGCCACTGTAAGTTACATATTGTTCAATAACAATAATAGCCAAAATTCAAAATCTTACCGGTAGGGATACCTTGATTTTGATACACCAACTTTCATCTAATCCAGAGATGTTCTGATAATCTTTTTATGTTTATTTTTTCTGTTAGGTTAGATTTAAAACAGCAGTTGATCTTATTTTTCTTGAACTTAGCTAGCTTACATAATATTATTTAGTTTGGTAGAATATAACAGATTTCGGCTGTTATGTTATTATAAACTCTACATTCAAACCAGCTATATCCAACTTAGCTTATAGCAGGCATATTGATGCGGACAAAGGTAAATGAAATTTAAACCTCCCTATTAATTCTTATTTATCCTTTTAATCGTATTTTTTGTAAAAGATATCTTGATGGTAGAAATTAAGTGCTTCAGAGGACAAATGTGGTTGCAATTTTTTTCCACTATGTAGTTTTTATACTGCAAAATGCCTTTGTGCAAATTTTTAAAAGTTATATAATTTTTAGCATTTAAAAGTGTTTATACGAAAAAGTTTCTTATTCTATATTGCTGTAGTCTACCGTCATAAAAAATATAGGGATTCAACCCGGATAACTAGGAATTTTAAGCTGAGCTTCAGCTATCAGCAATGTTTCTTGCAAAAGATATAAATGTAATATTGTTGTATGCTTCTTAACACTAAGAGATAATATCCTTTAGCAAATTCTTGATTTGTTGACATACTTGACTAGATCTAACGCTTGGATTTTTTTTTTCAGGTGACCTTAAAAGAAATGTACACAAATCCGATACTGAGGAAACCTCTCATTATTGCAGTTGTTGTTATGCTGTCTCAGCAACTTTCAGGAATCAATGCGGTATGAAACTAATTTTGAGTGTTACACTAATAGTACTTATGTAAATATGCATTAGGTATGGCTTTCGATAAGCATTACATATGCTTTATTCTCCAACAGTGGTCCCGCAGTGGACTGATCGTTAAGACACGGTTCCCAGCAGATCACCGAAGTCAAGCATCACTGGCTGCGGTCAGTGTGCGGGTGGGTGATCACTTGGATCAGTCTGCGTAGGGACCGAGGGTGGGCTGCATTGATCCTCGTTAAACTGTTCTACCGTAAAGTGCTCGACTGCGCGTGCAGGTCATCGGGCTACCGAAGCGGGGGTGCCATTCCCTCTGCAAAGGATTAAAATTGTGATGGCATGTCTTCGGATCATCCTCAGGGATGCGCCAATAGCCCATTGTGCAACTCTAGTGCGACGTAAATGAACTACAGCAACAACAGCATCTCCAACATAGTACAGTGCGCTGGAAAAAAAAAGGAAAAAGAGTTCACTGCTGACTTGATTTTTGATCTAATGGAGATTTTTGATCTAATTTTTGATCTTCGCTTTCTATGACTCAATCATAATAGTTCGAGGGTAAGTAGCGATGGCTCAGGGGAAAGAGCGTTTGCCTTCCAATGAGGTGAACCGGGTTCGAATCCTAGCGATGGTTGTTCGATACAACACAGATCACAGTGCCGACGTGAAATATCCTCAGTGGTAAACGAATCTTGGTTTAGAGTACCCTTGCCGTAAGGCTAACCGTGGGGGATTCCCATAGTCTTCCTCTCCGTGTAACGCAAACTCGGGTTAGTTCCATTAAAAAGTCCTCCACAAAGGCAAATTTCTCAAAATACTTAATCCAGGAGTCCCTTTGTCTTCTGAATTTGGTTCAAAATTACAATACTATGTAGTAGAACATTAGTAGTCGTGAACCCCAAAACTGGGTCGGTTGTTCAACGACTGTTAGAAAGTAAAATGCTTCGAGGGGATGATGCCCAATATACTAATTAATTAGTGCAGACGATATTTTAAATTACGAAATCAGTCAAAAAAACGTACTTTCTCTGAAAACCTCTTTATTTGAACGGATTCTGATTTCTGAAAGTAAAATATAGAGGTATCCGCAATCTGGGAAATTTGGACCCCATAGTTTGGTGAGGAGAGGGATCTAAAGTTTGGATCCCATAATGTTAATATTATTTTTTACGTATTTCGCCATATCTGGAGAATTTCGTAAGCAAAATTGAAAAATATTTGCACCCATTTATGAAAATTATTACTTTTAGTAAATATTTTTTATTTTCCATTTTATTTAATAATGATCGGAGGAATTTTTATTTCAAATTCATATTTTTCACATTTTAAAGAATGTAATTTTGCATACCAAAATTCAAAATTTGAGAGAAATCGATCAAATTGCTCCTGAGAAATCGAATGAGGAAGCTGTATTTTTAAAACTAGTTTTCTCAGTAACTATTCGACCTATTTAGCTCAAATTTTGTATTTTACTACATAAAACTTAATTTAATTGTCTTTGAAATGCTGTAAAAAAATTTATACCTAACTATTCAAATTTCTTTTTACTATTAGATAAAATAATAATCAATAAATATTTACTAAAAGTTATATTTTGTATGGAATTATCTTTGGATAAACAAATTTTATAATTGTTTGCAAATATTTTTCAATTCGTTTGAAAAGTTCTGGAGACAGAGCGAAATACACAAAAAATGAAATCATTAAGGGTTTCAAACTTAAGACAACTTCCCTGTCCAAACTATGTGACCATATTTCCCAGATGGTACCTACCCCCTTATATTTAGTAGCCCTAATAAATCCTACTACTCCAGGGTAAAACGTCCTCTTAAATGTCATGCATAGTTATCACACTAGTCTGAATAATTTTTTGGCAGTTCATAACATGCAGGATTATGAATATGAAGAATAATAATGATTATTCTTCACAGAATCAGACAGAAATAATGATTAACATTTTCTAGTGACAAATGCTGTATAAAAATAGCTTTTGTTAATTAATATTAGTACTTACTATAATTAAAAAAATACTTATTAACCCCTTGACACACGAAGACGTCTGGGAGACGTCATTTGTTTCTTATGTCGAAACAATAATTGACGGGTCTCAGACGTCTTCAATACAGAGATGCCTACTTGTTCCGGGCAGCAAACAAATATTTTAAAGTGGCAATTTATCAATTGTGATTCTTGGTTTAATAAATTCAATTCAGTAGATTTTTTATCCACTACTTTATTGTAGTTATGTCATGCTATACCTTTTGAAAAGCAAGCAAAAATTGTCAAATATTAGCAAAATTTAGCTTGTAGTTATTTACCTTTTCTCTTAATTATTTTGGCGTGTCCGGAGCAGTTGGAATCTCTGTCAACATTCCGTAGCGAGTTGTTGTTTACGGTGCAATCAAACTAATTTCTATATCTAAAAAATTAATGATACTTCAAGGTGTTAATGCTATTCTTGTAATATTAGTTTTGACGTTTAGTTTTTAATTGTAGGTTATCTTTTATTCTACCGAAATATTCCGAAACGCTGGTTTAACGACACAAGCAGCAATAAATGCCACTCTAGGAATGGGCTCGGTCAATGTGGTCATGACTCTGGTGTCCATGATCTTGGTGGAAAGAGCTGGCCGAAAAACACTTCATTTGACTGGTCTGGCCGGTATGATGATAATTACACTGCTGCTAACAATATCCCTTGCCCTCACGGTAAGTTCAGAAGATTGTTTTCTACTTGTAGCATTTTGACTATCTCATTTAACATTATTTAGTTATTATATACATTAACGCGCTGAATGCCACGCTAATTTTGCATGGCTTGCCCGTCTGGCTAAAATTATTTTCTCAGCATGCGTTGCATTCATTTCTTCAAACCATTTTAGCAACGATAATAATATTTTCAAAAAAAATTTACACGAATTATGTGTTTCTAATGATCTTGGCATCGCTGGTCACGGGTGACCCCTCGTGGCACTACGAACAAACTCAGTGCCGGTCACCGGTGACCCCCATGGCATTCAACGTGTTAAAGCGTTATATAGTTGGTCTATAGTCACCGTTACTGATCCAGACGAATGGAATACGTTCCATAGACTATAGTTTGTCTGTGGAGCAAACTCCCCTCGCCATGAAGTCTAAGGCCATCAGCTACTATGGAAAGAAAATATAGCTCATTTCAAAGAGGGAAGCTTCTATTTCCCCTAATTCCCTTTCTCTCATCGACCCTAGTTAAAACCTGTCTTTAAGATAAACCACACACGCCTAATCATAGTCCGTCCTCGTAACTATAGCCACCGCAATTGCTCTTTTATGAATGGCGAGGGGAGTTTTTTACATCGACTATATATTTGCATGCGCTTTAAAGCCCTTGATTACAGAGATGATTAGAAGAAAGATTTCCTGGATATTGCATACGTTAACACTTAGAAAAATAATTGTCGAATTCTCTGTTTAGCAGTATGTAAATTTTTTTCATTTTAATTCTAATAACATATATGTTTTGCAATTTAGTTCAACTTAAAAAATAAATACATCCTTATTTACTTTTACAAATATTTCATTTTTCTACGATTATTGAGTAGTATTTTTGTGATTTCGAAACACTAACTCAACAATATCTGTTCCAGTTCGGTAAAAATAAGTTTCAAAATTAAAATTGCAAATATTTTCAACCTTTCAAAAGTAGAATTTAAATATTGCTTTGATGTATTTACGTCATAGCTAATGGTCACACTTTGTTTATTTGTAGTTCGTAAATTTTTAATGTTATAAAAGAAAAACTCATTTTAATATATTTCTCTGTGCTTAAAATGCGAACAATGACGTAAAATTTCAAAAAAAAAGCAAAAAACAAATCCTTTTTGCAAGTATAAGTTGAAACTTGTATAGACAACAAAAATGCAATGGTTTTTACATTGATGATATCTTGAATAAGATGTATTCAAATATTTTTTTCATACTTGCAGACACGATCAATCCCTTAATTTCACTTTATGAAAATGTATCTACAGTTTTAGTATGCCATTTAGTTAAATAAAAATTATAAATTCAGTCATAAAGATGAAACTTGCAAAAGAAGTTACGTTAATTAAAAAAGAAACAGTGGTAGTTTAAATAAAAATCATTTATATTACCCAAGTTATATTGCCTACGAATATGTTTAATGCTGTTTTTTAAAAAAAAGCACGATTTACTTAGAAATCGCAAATTTATTTTTTATCTCCTTGATTTAAAATAAATTTAATCTTTCTTTTCTTTTAACTTAAAAAGAAACAGAACACAGTTTTATTTAAGAAGTTAATATGAGCAGATGTAAAAATAATTTTTGCTCCAATAATGTATAAGCATTAGGCTAATAATTATAGATTTTTTTTACACCATCAGTAAAATAAGAAAATCACCAGCTTTCCCCCTTAATACTTAAATTTTTTTTTCAAAATATATTTATTATTATCCAATTATTTTTGTAATAGTTTATAAGCAAACACCCTCTTGTCGTAAGTTGCTTTCGTAATAACTTGCACGGTTTAATTTATTATAAATTCAGTATTTCACTAAGCGACTTCGCAAAGCCATTTTGCAACAGGAAATTCATTTTTATTTTATGGTTCTTGTTTTGCTTTTTTACCCTTAAAAGACTAACGCGTATAAGCGGTATGACATTTTTACTTCATGTATCCAATGTAGCGTATATAGCGACAAGTATTTTTCCTTTTATTATTCTTGTATTTCCACTTTATTTCTTCATAATTAAATAAATATATAAAATTAGTATTATAATTTATTATTATAAATATATTGAACTTGAAGTACTTCCTGACCGTTCGGGTTTAAATTCTATATTTTATTTTTTAAAAAAAGGCTTACTTTCATTGATGTTTGCATTTCTTTTACAGCCCAGGGCTGCTTGGTTATCATATGTCAGCGTAATTTGTATTATTGGCTTCATAGTAATGTTTGCTTGTGGCCCAGGTAAGAAATTCTGTTATCTTACTCAGCAATTAATTTTTTAACCATTTTTATCTCCTAATACGCTTGTACTCTTTAAACATTTTAATTCTTTAACATTATTTAAGGGACATTATCACCCTGTTTTTTTAATTCTTTAATTTTTGTGCGTAAAATTAATCCTATATTATTTAAAGTTGTTGTAGTTCCTTTACGTCGCACTAGAGGTACACAATGAGCTATTTGTGACTATCTGGGAAACATCCTTGAGGAGGAAAACATGCCATTGCAACTTTGATCCTCTGCAGAGGGGATGGCATCCCCGCTTCGGTAGCCCTAAGGCCTACACGCAAAGTATAGCACTTTACGGTAGAAGAGTTTAACAAGGACCGATACCACACGTCATCGGTCTCTACGCAAAGTGATCCAAGTGGTCACCCATCCACACACTGATGCTTGACTTCGGTGATATGCTGGAAACCGTGATTTAACGATCAGTCCACTGAGGGACTATTTCATTTTAAAAAAAAGGAAATAAACCATTTTTTTTGAAAAAAATCTTCAACGTTATTAACTTTTTGGTTATTTAAACGTATATTAAGCATTGAATTTTGGGTCCCTCACTGGACTGATCGTTAAGACACGGTTCCCAGCAGATCACGGAAGTCAAGCATCAGCGTATTGGTCCGAGTATCGAGTATTGGTCCTTGTTAAACTGTTCTACCGTAAGGTACTAGACTTCGCGTGTAGGCTTTAGGGCTACCGAAGCGGGGATGCCATCCCCTCTGCAGAGGATCAAAGTTGCGATGGCATGTCTTCCTCCTCAGGGATGTTTCCCAGACAGTCACAAATGGCTCATTGTGCACCACTAGTGCGGCGTAAATGAACTGCAAAAATAACATTGAATCTTGGGTTTATAAAAAAATCAGGTTTTCGGTAAATAACAAAAATTATGGTTAACTGCCTTGGCCTGGAAACAAGATTAAGGTAGCAGTTGAATACAGTATTTTGTTTTGTTATCTTGTAGGTTCCATTCCTTGGTTCTTAGTAGCGGAAATCTTTGGACAAGGAGCTCGACCATTGGCTACAAGTATTGCCGTATCAGTCAACTGGATGGCTAATTTCATAGTCGGTTTAGGATTTTTACCTATTGTGGTAAGTTAAATTCTTTCATTTAATTTAATGTTAAATATTGTATCATGCTCTACCTTTTCCAACAACGCTCAAAGTTGATGGAAACGGTGCTATCTATTTCACGAAGATCCGTAATGCATTAATTTTGGCACTTGTCCTAGTGAGGGAATTTCCTTTTTAAAATATATTTTCTTAGTCCTTATAATATCGGGGTTGAACGTTGTTTCTGAAGCTTCTCGAAAATGTCAGGTTTAGCCTGAAAGAGTCAGAAAACAACGCTTTGCCTTTTACAGCGGACAACTAAACCTTAATTCAGGATTAAAAGTTGACTCGTTGATTTTGAGGCCGAAGTTCCCAGACTAATTGTAAACGTCGAAACAACGTTCAAAAATTGGCGTAGGAAGGAGATTTTCAACCTCTTTATACCTAAAGACTAAGGGATGCATTGCAAAATCAATGGGGAACCACATATGCAAAAATGAAAAGAAAAATTGTACGAGCCTAGGACTATTGTATCCTTATAAATAGGGGGGAAATTTTGGTTACATTGCGTTATTTTTGTGTTCATGAAAATGACAAAATATATAATAGCTAGTTAACTGAAATATGGAATATAAAATACTGTTGATGCATTTTCTCCAATGATCCAACAAAAAACGAGGCCAGGACAGCTTGGTTGATAGAGCACTGGGCCCATGTCCAAGAGTTCGTGGGTTCTATCCTCGCCAGCTGAAGACTCCCCGTTTAGTAAATGGTAACTGATGCACGTTAAATCTGTCGAGTCGCAAAGTCCTCCATGTTCCCATAACAAATCAATACCTCTGGGGGTACTGATCCAGGATTTTCCTTGTCCTTCTGGATTGGTTCAAAATTACAAGGCTACGGAGTTGAACATTAGTAGTCGTAAACCCGAAATTGGGTCGGCTGTTCAACGATGGATATAAAATAAAAATGATCCAACAATCAGAGCCGCTTTGGCTCAGGTGATAGATCTTTCGCCTTCCAATGAGGTGAACCGGGTTCGAATTCCAGCGATGGCTGGTCGATGCGAATTCATCACCAGGCTAGCACCGACCATAGTGTTGACGTGAAATATTCTCAGTGGTAGACATATCATGGATTAGAGTCCCCTTGCCTTTAGGCTAACAGTGGGAGGTTTTCGTGGTTTTCCTTTCTATGAAACTCAAATGCGGGTTTGTTCCATCAAAAAGTCCTCCACGAAAGCAAATTTCTCCCAATAGTTGATCCAGGAGTTCTCTATTCTTCTGGATTGGGTTCAAAATTACAAGGCAATGGAGTTGAACATTAGTAGCCTTAAACTCAAAAATTGGGTCAGCTGTTCAACGACAGTTATGAAACAAAATGTATAATCAAAACAGTATAATTTTCTCATAGTTTCTGATAAAAGATCAGATGCAGAAATTCCATTATTAATTTGAGAGATATTAAATAAAAAATGTCTTACATTTAATAATTTACAACAGCATATCAGCATATTTTTAGAAATTTACAAGGCTCATCAAAAATGCCGAACTTACACAAAACAAACCCAATGCTTGCTTTTTTTTTTAATTATTAGTTGAAAGGGCAACATCTCAAGGACAACGAAAAAGCTTCCAAAGTTCACTGGTTCGCAAGTTGAAAATCACTAGCTTCGTAAATTAGAAATTCTCAAAAACCTTATCCCGTTTTCAAGACGGCAATGGAGCTTTAACGCATGGTTTGTTAACTACTAAAGATATTTCTGCGATTTTTCGAACTTTTATTATGATAAAACTTGATACTCTCCCAGCATGTACTTTCACTTCACTGAGCTTGATTACCGATTGATTAAAAACCTACAATGGAACAAATCTGTTAAATGAAAATATGATTTAAAAGTAATCAGGCATGCTTCTTCGGAAACTCGATAATATCTAATTTCTAAATAAGAACACAGAATCATGGCATAAGAACACAGTATCAGGAGCAGTATTTGGACTTACGGGCGAGATTCGAACCCAAACATGTTTCCTTGAATACCGGCCAGGAGGCGAGCGGTGAGCGTGCTTGACTGTGAAGCTAGTGGCTGCGGGTTCGAATCCCGCTCAGGGCATGGGTGTTTCTCTCTGTGTGTTGTCCTCTATTGTGTGTGATGAGTGTGGCCCACCCTATGAACTGGCATCTGTGGCAATGTGGCGGGGGTAACGTTGCTCGCCTACGTGACTTTGGTCTTAAGATGCAGCCCAAAATGTGCAATACTTCCGGCACCTTCCGTAGCGAAGAACGATAAATTCATTGCCAGCCGTTAAAATTGCCTTTAATTAGAGCAAGAACTTTAATTCAAGCCAAGAGGTACTTAGATTCAATAAAAAAATAACTTGTGACTGTGAATATACTTAAAACGAATATAAAATAACCATTTTAACTAGTTTTTTTCCCTTCCATCACCTTATATTAACTTAAGAATTTTCGGGAAGCATATTAAAACTTTTGTTACCTAGACCTCTATGAAACTCATTTATGCGCTGAATAGAAATTTTTTTTGACTTCTAATTAAATTAGTACTGTTTTTTTTCTCTTAAAACACTTCTATAATTCTTTAAGCATTTAAATGTTTTTTTAAACGTATGTTTCTAAACCATGCTTCTAATTTAACACTTATATTTCCAGAGCTCAATTGGCGAGTACACTTTCCTTATTTTCTCTGCGCTATTGGCTATGTTTTGGCTCTTCACATACAACCAAGTTCCAGAAACAAAAGGAAGAACAGTGGAAGAAATTACTGCAGAATTCCGGCAAAAAGCCAACAGTTAGAACATAGTTTTCCTACAAAGAAAATGAAACGGAGCTTCAAAGTTTTAGAAGATGAGAAACTTGCATTCTGTTTTTTCCCATCATTCATATAATAGATTATTTCATGAGTGATCTTTTAAAGATTCCAATGAAAGTAGTCGTCTATCTATATATTTTGCATATATTTTATAAATATATATTATATATATCTGGTGCGTATGTATAGAAGTATTTTTCAAAGTATATACTTTTATGTTGCGTTGTTTTAATGAACTGTTCTATTTGAATTTTACCTAGATTTAAAGAATCTCATTTTTATTTTGCTGTAAATAATCTTCATCATTGCCTGATTGTATTTAAAAATAAATTGTTTCTATATTTATGCCTTTTTTTCTGAAAGTTTAACTAGCACTTTTAAAGCTATGTTGGATATAAGCACATAATCACACTTAATTCTGCGTCCCTGATAATAAGTATGAGGGCAAGTAATTAAGTTCTTAGAATCTGGCAACAAAAACACTACTTGCAACGCAGACGATTTTCACCAAAATTTAAGCATTTACGTGATCGTCTGCGTTTATAGAACATCAAAAGGTGCGACAGTCAATACACTGAAAATTTTCAAAAAACCTAGTGTAAAGTAATTATGGAGTTATATCGAATTGATTTCAGAGCCATAATTTTTTATGACTACGTTCGACACAGAAACAGTGTAGCAATAGAATGAAATCGATGTTTGGTAGTGAATTACCATCAAAGGCAACGATTTACAATTAGTTTAAAGAACTCTCCCGCGGTCGGAAGAATTTCAGTGATGATCGAGAGGATCTACCAAGAAGTGCTATGACTCCCGAAAGCATTGAAGCTGTGAGAAACTAATTTCTTCTGATCGTCACATGACATATAAGGAAAATAGAAACATGGTTAAACATTTCAAGGACCCAAGTATATTCAATTTTGCATGATCATTTAAAGGTGAAATAAGCGCGTTCCCAATGAATCCCCCACAATTTATCTCAAGCTCAAATGGACGCTTGTGTGAAATGGTGCCAGGAAATTTAAAAAAAATTCAACTCTAGTGCCTTAAAACGTGTATACAATCTATTGTGTGATGAGACATGAATATATTCCTATGAACTACACGCAAAACAATGCATGGTTTGGGTGTTTACAGATGACAGTAGACTGACAAAAATTGTTCGTTCAAGGAGCGCTTCCAAAAAAATTGCTTCTTTTTTCGGTAAATCTGGCCATATTGGAATCTTTCCTTTGGCGGATAGTAAAACAGTTTTTGATTTACCACAATTTGCTTACCGGAAGTAGAGAGATAAGAAAAAAAAACAATTCAAAACGTTGCATCATTTTGCACCAAGACAACGCAAGCTTCGCTATCTATGGATTATTTGAAGCGCGAAAAAAAATTTAATAGATGACTCATTGTCCATATTAACCAGACCTAGCTCCGAAGGACTTTTTATTTCCGTTTATAACCCGGAAGAGGTCGTTGAAGCTTACAAATGTTTCTGCTGTACCACTTTCAGAGTGGCATAAATGTTTTGAAAATAGGTTTATTCGAATGCAAAAACGTATCGATGCTGCAGGAAAATACTTTGACGTATTAAAGTGATTTCGAAAATATTTTTGTGCTAGTAAATATCGTTAACATTTTTATCACCGAAACTTTATTTTTTTTTAAAAAAATTTGATTTAATTATTACTTTTTGTGAACACACGTTTTTTGAACCTTCGTTGCTTAAAAAGGTATTAAGGTTTGAAATGTTTTGTTTCAGTAAGAAAAGAGGTTAACAAAGCAGAATCCTTAAAATTTCTCTTCTCCTCAGCATCTAATGGAATAAAATCGCTTAAATTTTTGCTTGAATGATAAACTAACAGTTCCGGAAATATTTTGTGTGAAAAAGAATCTATGAGCAATATGTACGGATGTATATCCTTTACAATTGGGTGATTTCATACGACTTCCCTGGAATTTAAACCTATAGTTCACAGCCCTTTGTACTGTCTAGCAGATCAGGTTCGGTTTTATTAAACACAGCCATTTATCAAAAAATATGACAGTATATTTCAAATGAGATACGAAACCTGCTTTAATAGTTATTTAAATTAATAGAGAGATTTCGCAGTTTCATGTATCCTGCACGTTCCCGAATGTAAGCGACTGCGTATGTGCAACTGAGATGTGCCAGTTAGCGAACTGCGCACTATTAAAAGTTTAAAAAATAATAATAATAAAACAGTTAAAGAGGATGCGCGATGACTAAGACTGCGAAATCTCTCTAATAGCTAAAAAAAATCGAACTTACCTAAAATTAATATTCAGGTAACTAGATACTACAAAATAAAATCGATGAAATAAAAGTTGTAATTTTTATTCCAACATTGGCGATGACAAACAAGTTGTCTACCTACACAGTCTTTCATTCATCGATTCATCGCCAAATGACGTGGCGACGCTCTGCGATTAGTTATATGTGGTTTTTTATAAATGCCAGCAGTAATCTAGTCTAAAGTTATGGGGTCCCGGTTTTAACAACAGTATCTTATCTCGAGCCACAATGGCTCAGGAGATAGAGCGTTCGCCTTCCAATGAAGTGAACAGGGGTTCGATACCAGCAATGGCTGGTCGATACGAATTCTACATCCAGCTTGCACCGGCCACAGTGCTGGCGTGAAATATCCTCAGTGGTAGATGGATCATGGGTTAGAGTCCCCTTTCCGCCAGGCTAACCGTGGGAGGTTCTCGTGGTCTTCCACTCCATGTGACGCAAATGCGGGTTAGTTCCACCAAAAAATTCTCCACGAAAGCAAATTTCTCCGAATACTCGATCCAGGAGTTCCCTTGTCTTCTGGATTGGGTTCAAAATTACAAGGCTACGGAGTTGAACATTAGTAGTCGTAAGCCCATAAAATTGGGTCGGCTGTTCAACGACGGTTATAAGTTATAAGTACATTATCTTGAGCAACTCTCATCCCTACTAAAAAAATTTTTTAAATAGAAATAGCATTTGCAAAATATTTAAATTTTTCAATGTTATTGTTCTTGCATTTCTGTCGACATAGGGGGTACGACAAACAAAACCTAAACCTTCACAAGTTTGTATACCCAATGAGAACAAAAAAAAAATTCTTTTCTTGATAAATTCACTAATGTGCCGATTTTAAGTGCATTCATGAAAGGGGTAAAAATAAAAACCACTCTCTGTGTAATATGAGTTTATACTCATATATTAACGTGATGTGTGGCTGGGTGGCGCAGTTGGTTTGTCGTCGGCCTTCTGAGCCCAAGTTTGCGGGATCGATCCCCGGCCCAGACACCGGATTTTCAGGATTCAGAAAATCCTCAGCGGCCATGTCGCATGATTATGCGGCATGTAAAAGATCCCTGGAGTGCCTTATTGGCTCTTGGCATTTCCGGCAAAATTAAATTCCTAGTGCACTTTAGCATCCAAATAGAGTCTCGGTGCTGCCATCTAGTGTGGCAGAAACTAGACGTCCAAATTAACATGACCAACGGTATCTCACCCATTGTGGTGGTCCTGAAAGAGTGGATACCACCTCTGGAGAACGCACTAGTTCTGCTTATTGGCAAGACCGATTGTGCAGCTCATTGGAAAAAAAAATTTAAAAAAATATTAACGTGATTTTTAGCTGTACCTTTTTAAATATCGAGATACTCGAAATTTTACTAATTTGAAAGGACGGTCTGGCTGGTGTAAGTTCTAGTTTCTCGTAATATAAATTTCTAAGAATTTCTCGCTACATTTCTAATTTAGCTATTAAAATGTTATCTTAATGCTTGTAAAATGTAAATTTATATATGTAGGAATTTATTTATCAAATAATATTTTTATAATTGTTATTAAATTTATACTTTAAGTTTTTCAATTTTTAAACGTAAAGATTAGAAGTTTCTGATTAAGGTTAAATAAGTCTTAAATTAAAGCAACGCTCTATAACCTCGCACTTCGCTAGCAGGATAAATATAACTTTGCAACTTATTTAAGGCAAAAATAGTTTTCAATAATTATTCTTGATAGTTACTTTGAAATAGAAAAAATAAATTTATTTACTATTTCTAACCTAAAATAAGGAAAGGTACTTTTGGTACCTTTCTTAAAATTCCCAATTTATTGGAATGAAATTGCACGATTGAGGTAAGATCGTGATTATCACTAGTTGTTCGCTACCAGACCGTCTCCAATAGTCCATTGTGCACAACTTCAGTACCCGTAAATAAAGTACTACTACTACCTTCTAAATAGTTTTTCAATAAATCGAAACATGTTAAAAGGGAAAATTTAATTTACTAGGAAACAGTTCAGCCGTATTAATTACAGCAGGGCTCTAAAGAGGTATTTGTGTATCAACGTATCACCAAAAATGAATTTAAAATAATATTAACACAAGTTTTTGTTTTCTTAAACTACTTTCTGTTTATACAGATAACTTAATCAATAATGTACCTTTTTGCCAGGTTCAACGCACTGATTCGATCCGGGTTCAACGCACTGATTAGGTATCTGTATTGATTCAATGCTCCAAGCTTTAATGTATTTCATTTTATAACCGGAATTGAACAGCCGATCCAATTCTGAGTTTATAACTCTCAATGTTCAACTCCATAGTCTTATAATTTTGAAGCAAGTCCAGAAGACAAAGGAACTCCTAGATCAAGTATTGCATTGCAATCGTGGAGGACTTTTTGATGAAACTAACCCGCATTTACTTAGCATGGAGAGGAGAAACTCATAAACCTCCCACAATTAACCTGACGGCAAAGAGACTCTGACCCATGATCCATCTACCACTGAGGATATTTTTACGTCAGTACTGTACTGTGGTCGGTGAGAGCCGGGTGTGAAATTCGTACCGATCAGCCATTGCTGGGATTCGAACCTGGTAAGCCTCATAGGGTGGCGAACACTCTCTGCTCTGAGCCCCCGCAGCTCACTCCAGCTTTACGCAAAAAAAACTGGTTGTTTTACCTTTAAAAAAAAACAAATTGGCAATTTTAAAAAAAATTTCTAACTGTGCAATAATACCTATTGATATTAATGCTAAAAATAAGAACTGACCTCGGCATTAGTTAACGAATTCCGTTCACTTCTACCACTCAGTTTCTTCCGTTCCAGTAACCTATAGAGATCAGTGGTCCGGCAGTAAGTTTAAAATAAAAAGGAAGCTCCTTTTCCCATGGACACTCCTAGAGAAGGGAAATGACCAAAGGTGATCCCCGACTCGGGAGTACATCACCCTTATCTTTATATTTAATATAAGCCCAATTAGAAGTAGGACCATAAGTTTAAACTTATTATTTGCCATTTCTCTTACTTTAACCTGCACTTACTGCCATTATCTCCGTAACCCAAGGGCGATATAATCTATGAATGAGTGTGATATCAACACCTCCTAGAAAGAACAGGCCTCAGCACGGGTTACCATAAATATCCCTTAGTAGTCCAAACGTAATGACATATTTTGTATTTTCAACCACTGCGCAGCTTAGTACCCCTAACGTAATGACATCTTTCTTACTTTTCGTCTACTGCGCAGTTAACTTCGTCACATCGGACTACTAAATTGATTCATGCTGAGGCCTTTCTACTTCTAGGAGGTGTTGGTGATATCCGCTTCGTGGACAGGTACTCCGTAAAAAACTTCAGTCTAAGTCTATTCACTTTTTTCCTTCTCTCGATTATCAACAGATGGCAGAACAAAAAGAGGCGCTTATAACTTCCTCTTGATGATACGGATGTTTTGATTTATAGTAATCTGAGTTACTATGACGTCATAGGAGATTACTGGGTGAATATTTTTTATTAGTTTATTCTTAAGACAGGACTTCATCCTAGTGTTTCCCATTTTGAATGCAGTGCTTTAAATTGAAAGTTAACCTAAGCATTATTCCTAAAACATCAAACATTATCTTAGAACCAGTATGAAAAACTCATTCTTGCAAAATACTACGGACATTTAAAAAAAAGTGAAATCCACATTTTTCTCTATTTTTAAAAATGACTGAACAGATGATGACCGGCGAGGTGAAGACTGACGAGGAAGCAATTGGTGAAGTAACTGACCAGGTGATTGGTGAGGTTGCTGACCAAGTGATTATTGATGAGATTATTACTGACCAAGAAATGTCTGACCAGCAAAGGAAAGATGAGGAACCACCCATTCAAAAAATAACTTCTGTAGACCAGGAATCTCAAGTAATGTTCTGCATTTGAGATGGTATCTTTTTTCTATTTTATTTACTTCTTGATAGGCAATTTATTTAACTAAAAAGCCTCATTTTATTACAAATTAGTATGTGTTTAACATATTTTTTACCTCCTTTTTATGCTTCGCCAAGTTGCTAATAATTTTTTTTTAAATATAAGACTTTGATTTTTCACAATATGGGAATAACAACATTTTACAGTTTTATTTCGAGTTTCGAAATAGGACGTGGAAATCAATTATTGTACTCTAGTTTTTTAAATATTTTACACTGGGTCCATAAAAATTTAATGTGAATATTTTTATGCATTACAACTTTGAAAATTTGTTCTAGATGCTGTATGATCTTCAATTTTAATACAGTGCTCCATAAATTTAGCACAATGAACTATTTCGGAACTTACGTCCTGTTTCACTTTAATTTATGGTAAATAAAAAGTTACCATTTGTTTTAAATAAATAATACCAAAAAACTGAAATGGTAAGATCTTACATTGAATGAAAGCTTCATTCACTTCAAAAATATACAAATTATAAATAACAAAGCCAACTGGTTTCAAGTGCTCAAAAATAAGAGCTTATTTGCAAGACTTCCTAGATGTGAATGAGAAAAAACCTCATCTTTATTTTTCCATTTTTCATTGGAAACTTAACATTTTATATTTCAAATCACGTTTGTTTCTTCTCATTCACGTCTGGCAAGTCTTGAAAATGGTCGTCTATTTTTGAGCGCTTGAAACACGTCGACTGTTGTTTCCAATTTGTATATTTTTTGAAGTGAATGAAGTTTCCTAATATTTATTTTGTAACATATGATTGAAAACGCTCGTGACAAATTCCAGTTAAATGAACGGGAAGAAATTTTTTTTTTGCTTCGAGAAAATGTGCCGTCACACTTCAAAACCTCTGATTTGGTGAACGCATGTTTTGTTTGATATCACACATCACAACGCTTCATGGCAAATATTTTTGATCAATACAGGGTTCTGCACAACGTTCTGAGAAAAGGTGATGCAATCTGGACATTATAATATGACCCAAAGAAGAGTCGACACAGAATTGCTTTCTCGGTGCTCCCGAAACTAAATAAATTAGGAGACAACGGCAACTAAAAGGGGAAAACGCTACGTTGTCTTTTTTAACTCTAACTATGAAAACGATGAGTGTTCAAGCTCAGAGTTTTCGATTCATGCAGAAACCATCAACGCTTACAGGAATGTTCTGAAAAGGTTGAGAAAAGGCTTTTTTACGAGTAGAAAGACATCCCTACGACCTAGCTTCTGCAACAAATCAAGATCATTTGTCACTGCCATTAACACGTTGAATGTCGCGCTCATTTTACATGGCTTGCCCGTCTGGCCACACGATAAATAACTACAAACTAAATTGCAAATATTAGACAGATTTTGCTAGTTTTTGAAAGGTTTAGCATGACATGTCTGAAATAAGTAGTAAATTATATAAGCCTACAAATTGTTTAAAAATAGTGGTAGATAAAAATCTACTAAATTGAATTTATTAAACCAAGAATCACAATTAATAAACTACCACTTGAAAATATTTATTCGCTGTCCGGAGCAAGTTGGCATCTCTGTGTACATAAATAAAACTATTTTTGTGTGTTCTATATTGCATAAATTTCTTCAAGCCATTTTAGTAACGATAATAATCTAAAACAATTAAACATTTACTCGAATTATGTGTTTCTAATAATCTTGGCTGTTCTAATAATCTTTCTAATAATCCCCCGTGGCGTTAACTCAGTGCCAGTCACCGGTGACCCTCATAGCATTCAACGTGTTAATATGACTTGTGCGTCAGTTAAGTTGTGCGTCTCTTGAAGCATAATGCAACAGTGCCGCAAACACAGTACAGCCATCTAGCTCTGGTCGATTTCTTTTTATTACCGTGAATAAATGTCACAAACACAAAACTTTATTTAAAACTTTATTTTGTCAGTATTGAGGTTTCTGAGACAATAGCTGAAAAGGAGGTTTATTTCGAGTGCCTTTCCGGTTATGGAAAAGTCGATGGAAGATATTTGAGGAGCTCATAAAAACTACTTCGTACATGGTTAACATTTTGTTCTGATATATAGTCTCGAGACTTATTTTGCATAACTGATATTGTTAAAGTTAGTTAATATCAATGATAGGACATTTTTTAGGAGTGTATTATATTTCCTAAGGTTGAAATACAGTAGAATTCACAAAGTAGAATTTACGTTTTTGAAATATATATGTTATTAGTACATCTCGGGTTTTTTTCTTCCAAACTTAATATGATCCGAAACTGAAATGCAAATAAGTTCCACCTGTTTGAACTGGCAATTAATTGTAATAGTTTTTGGTAGGTACTCTTTTTCTTTTGAAATAAATAACTGAAATAAAACTGTTGTATGACTTATGTTTTGCATTTGTGTGTAGTTGGTTGAGTTGTATGACTTATGTTTTGCATTTGAGGAATATTGTGCTTTTAATTTTAGAACAAAAGGTATGGACATGGGGAATACAATCTTACTTCACATCTTTTATTCGCAATTGCTGCAGCTGGAGGTGGTGCAGGATTTCAACATGGCTACAACACAGGAGTTATAAATGCGCCGCAATCGGTAAAGATCTTTCCCTTCGAATTAATTATTGGAAAGAAAATTAAGATTCGTATCCTCACCCCTCACTACATCGAACAATAGTTCGTTATACCTTGCATTAGCCCGTTATACCTAAAAGTTGTATTTTTGGAATAATTAATAATAGACGTTAATTAATGAAATGAAACTAGGTACATATTTAGAAAATGAAATGTGCATTTGTTGTTATGCAAAGTGGTTCAGATATCGACCTATCGAAAAAAAATTTAAAGTAAAATTTAAAATAAAAATTTGAAAAAATGCTCATTGAACGATTTCCAGATAGCCCTGAAAAATTGGTCTTCTTGCTAGAGTGCAACAAAAATGAGTACCTCAGTAAGATGTGTGATTACCTCGGACACTTATGCACATGTTATATCTGTTATTCATGTCGTCCACTAAACTATCGAAGAGTCCATGTGGGATGCTCGTCCACTCCTCTCTCAAGGTGGTTTTCAGCTCTTGCACTGTTTGGAAAGGGTGTGTCCTTTGTGAAACACGTCTGGCAGGAGAAATTTAAGATTATTTTATGGGATTTAAGTCCGAGGAGTACACAGGTCATTGCATACGGTCAATATCTTTACTTTCTAGTGTGTCCGATACCTCGGCGCACCAGTGCGGCTGCGCATAGTCGCCCATAAATAGGAAGTCTTGACCTACCACACCCATAAATCGACAAACATGATCCAGAATAATCTCTCTGCAATAAGCTGCGGTATAATGTTACCTCGCTTAAAGGTGTGATGCAATGTTCAGCCATTGAGCTTGATGCCTGCTCATACCAGCATGTCTGGGCTATACCGATGACGTACACAACGCGTTCCCATCTCTCTCTCTCCACACTAACTGGTAGCCAGAATCACTTTTCATAGTGAATCAGGATTCGTCGGAGGGCATCATTCTGAACCTTTACTGATTACTCCAACCAATACGTTCCTTATACCAACGCAATCTTACTTGACGATGGCGAGGTTAGAGCGGAAGGCATCGAACAGGGTTCGGTGCATGCAAATCAGCTTGATTTTATCGCCGTCAGATGGCTCTGGGAGAAACACGTGTACCGGTAGTTGTTGCAAGGTCTGCAGCTAGCAAGGTTTGCTTACGAGTAACATTTCTGTTCTTTTTCACTACTGGGATACATACTTCAATTATATAAAGAAAATACATTACACTCTTCCAAGTGTATATACCATTTATTACACCATTATTCGTATATTTATTACATTATTATCAATGTTTATTTATTATTTTTGTAGTAAGCTTGTAAAAGTAATTTATTTTTCAAGATTTGATTTTTTTTTTTTTTGTTTAATTTCAAAGAATAGTTTGAATGAGTAAGAATTATTGTTAAGTTCATAGAGATGAGATATGACTGTGGATGAGATGTGACATGAATGACTTGGAGAATATGCTAAGATATGACTTGGAGATGAGACATGAAGGTGCAGTACAGTAATATCTCATCACAGACTGTGCATTTCCCCAATTTTAAAAATTTCAGATTTACCTACTGTTTAGATAAACAATTTAAAATAAAATGTACATTCTTAATTTGATTTCGTAATTAGAATTCATCGTAATTTTCTTTGAGAAATTATCTGATAAATTACAAACAAGAAACATGCTGTTTTAAACGAATTAAAATAAAGTACAAATAAAAAGGTTATTCAAAAACTAAAACTTTAAAAAAAATCAAAAAATTAGTTTGAATGCATGCAAGAAAAATTTCCGTGGTTAAAGGGTAAAAAACGGCAATTTTTTTAGTAACTAGTATTTTTAGAATTTGTATTATTTCAGTCATTCATATTACTTTTATATTTACCAATATATTCGATGTCCAAACGAAATTCATCAACAATATGGTATTCAAAAAGTATCGTTATCGATAATACAGGAGAAAATATCATTCTTGATGCTTAACGTTATCATTAATAATCTCACGATTACCATTTCCGATATTTATTGTTGCTGATATTGATCACGATATTCTCGTTGTCAATAACATTATACTGATGTTTACCTTTTCTGGTTGTATTAAGAGTGAAAGATAGTTCACATACAGTTCGAAATAAATTTGTGTTGGACGAACATAAAATGTAAGATAATGAAATAAAAAAAATTATTATTTTTCTGGAAGTAAAAAAGCTCTTACAAACTCGATTCATAAAATATTAATTTATGAATTGGGCAAAACCTACGGACTAAAGTAAACAACACTGTTCAATAATATAATATCAATATGGTTCTATATTGTGGTGTTTCAAAGCAGGAATATGATGGTAAAAACTTTGGTGGTTATAACTAGGTATAAATAGCTAAAAAAATATTTATATTTTCCCAGCTCAAATTTTCAGTAACAGCCTTTTTCATTTACATAGCTATTGGTGGATTTCGTAAAGGAAACATACCAGAATCGTTATGGAGAAGTAATGGAAGAAAATAAAGTTGGTATCCTGATCTCTACTTTAGTGGCTGCATTCTGCCTGGGTGGCATGATCGGGGCTTTACTTTCGTCATACGCGGCCGATTATATCGGACGCAAATGGGGTCTCATTTGGAATAACATTCTCGTTTTCGTAGGAGCAATTCTCGAAGGTTGTTCCAAAGAAGCCAGTTCATACGAAATGTTCATCATAGGAAGATTCATAATTGGTATTAACTGTGGTAAGTGACTAGCATGTAAAGTGCCACGTCAGTCATCAGTGGCTGACGCTGTAATTTCAGGAATATATATACGTATATAT